TGGTGCGATGCAAGCGACAGCGGTTTCCACTACAAGAATCGCTCGTGACCTTAGAGCACTTTGCCAAAGGCAGTCCTTTGCGTTGAACCTACCCGCCACATCCCACTAATGTTTTTGGGCGTTTCTGTATTTTTGTCTGGGTGCGCTGCAAGCGACAGCGGTTTCCACTACAAGAATCGCTCGTGATCTTAGAGCACTGTGTATTGGTGCGATGTAAACGACAGCGATCTCCGCTACCAGCATGCGCGGGCGACTGCGTGTAAGATTGTCAGCCGACAGCGTTTAAGGCACCTTGCACTGCTGTCCATGACTGCATCTGCAAGCATGAACGCAAAGCACACAAAAGATGTAGAGAGGTGTATCACATGCGTTTCATGCGTGGCATATACACAACAATATGTCAGATAGATTTTACACACTCCTTGTCTCCCCTGCACCCTTTTGTTTTCGTTTTTTCAAGATTGACAAACATGGTTTAGAGTCCAACCACTCGCACGCGTCGGCTGCAAACAGCGGTGGCCCAAGAGGGCCATCAGGACGTAGTTTGTGAACATCGTTTTTCATCACAGGATAGGTCTTCCACACCCCTTTCAAGGAAGCACCCTTTCAAGAAAGGTTTTTTCAATTGAGTTGACTGTAAACCCATTACAGATGCATTGCAATCTCGGTCTCGGCGGTCATACCTTTTCGTGCCTTGGCGTGGCCGGGTGTCCCAGAGTCTTAGCTTCCCCAACACCCTTGAGCGTGCCCCGTGACAGTGACAGGAAAAGAGTTTGTTCAACACTCAATCCAACAGTTTTGAGACAACTCTTAGTTGGGCTCACTCTTGTGGGTGACAAACCTCCGATGCTCTTCGAGCATCATTGCTAAGCAAAGCAAATAGCGATCATAAAAACGCTTAGATGCAGTTTTGCCGTGGCACTTTTGCCAAATTGCTTTGGCTTTCCCTAGGAACGACTCCTCATCGAAGGTTGCAAACATACACTGGTTCAGCTTCCAAGCTTTGAGCTGAAAGGACTGGTGTGCCAAGTAGTGGTGTTTAGGCCTCACTCGAAACAGCGTTTCGCGTTGTTCCCAGAAGTATGCTGTGAGCCATTGGTATGTCACTAAGTGCTGGTACAAGCACTCAGATGCCTCCACTGCATCTTCCTCTGCTAACACGAGCCCACTGTTGTCCTGTATCTCTATACACCGTTGGAGGTAGTAGCAAGTTGTCGCAAACACCTGCAATACAGGATCCTGGGTTGCAGAAAAAATTTGAGGGGTGTTGAGAAAGCTTATAAACTTCATTTAACACAGAGGGAAGGAAACAAAGCCTTGCGTGTTGCCAAAGTCTCATCACTCACCCTATCAGCAAACTGCTGCGATTTGTGCGCGATCCACCAGCACATTTTCTTAACGTGCGAGGCTTTGAATCTCGGGCTGATCTCCGGGTACTCGCAGTCCAAGCTCGCCACACTCAAGGCCGGCTTTTGGGGCAAATACAACCTCCACATATTCCAGGGTCTCAAAACCACCCCCTTGGCACCCACATACCGTAGAACAGACACCATATAGCCAATATCTGGAGGTGAACATAAAAGTTCTTCGAGAAATACATTTGAGAAACCCATACTCACGGCAATCCTTGATCATGTCGTTTTGGATCTCTGCCAGGAGTTTGTCACATATGCCTTCATCACATGTGTAGAGTTTTTGCCGGATGAACAGCCGAATCCCTGACCCAAGCAAATCCCTCGCTGTGCCAAGATAGACATTATGCATGAAATCAAAGCTGACCGATTCAATATTGAACCCTTCCATGACGGTCCAACTTGACATGCTGTCAGGATCCATCGCAGCATACTGCGAGTGGTTGATGCAGGTCAGAGGCCACGCTGCGGAGGGAGAGAAATTTCGGTAACTCATGGAATCAGGCGCTTGTATGTCTGCCCTGGCAAGACACTGGTCGCAGATCCTCAAATGTGGCAATAGAAGACTAGCTGTTTTTCAAACATATTGGGGTGAACCTTTTGAGAGGGCTTGGTCCACAGAGAAGTGTTGCTGAATGTTACCAAGCTGCATTGATGTTTGGTACCAGCGGGAAAAACCATGAACTTCACGCCGGGCTTTGAGATCTGCTTTGAAAGCGAAATAGATTCCCCTTAGCAGCTTTGTGGCTTGGAACTTCTTTCAGGAACATATCTTGTATCCCATTTTCATGGACCAAAAAATACAATATGATGTGTAACAGGATTCAAGATTCTTCCATCCGTTTGCCAGCTCCTTACCACAAAGCTTTGCCCTTTGCGAGCCAGTTGGAAAATCCTCGTCGTTGAACCCCTTCGGAGGCCCAACACCACGAGATGACCACTTCATCGACCAGGCAGCAAGTCGAGCGACCAGGTCAAAAGCTTGGCTCCGAACCTTGATTTAGAGAGGCCCTGAAGAGGTGAAACCAAAAGTAAATTGTTACTTCTATGCACTCAAAGTAAACATAAAAAGCTTTGGACGAAACTGTACAAGATACGTTTTTGCTACGCATCTGTTTTTCTGGGATTATGCAGAACGGGAACTTGTATGTCAATACATCTTGGCACATTCCAGGCTTTGCAAAAACACTGGAGATTGACCAAACCATACATTCATCTTCGTTGTAAAACTGAGCTCCATCTGCATGGAAGGTGAATCCTATGAATCGCTCCATGCCCTGTCCGGGTGCCAAATGCGGGTGGGACCTCCAAGGTTCAAGGCCTCTGATGTGATCCCAAAACTGTTGACGGCAGCTGTCGTCCAGGTTGCCAAGGAAGATGGAATCAAACACTTGCGGACATCGGGACATTGAGAGACAGTGCAATATTTCATGGGGCAGTAGAACTCGAACGTGCACGCGTGATTCGTTGCGACCATCTGCCTTGGTGGGTTTTTCATGTTGGAAAGTTTGTAGTGGTGGTGAGTACTTGCTATTCCACTAAACCAAAAAGGACACCCCCACATCCACTACACATCATTTCTGAGTTTCCAGAAGAAGCATAGGGACAATGTATGGTTCCAGCTGAAACCCGTATAGGTTCCTGAGCCATGTGTGCATGTCGCGCTCATAGTTTGATGGGCATCGGCCCTGGGATCCCAAAGAACTGAAGGATTGCACCCCACTGTTGCTGAGTCCATCGTCCATTGCACATTGTGTCAGAGTGACAGCGCAGTCAACACTGACTTGTCCACGACCGACCATGCTGATCAGCTTGTCCACTGTTTTGGACCGCTCACAATCCTCGAAGCGAAGTCGCTTCCTGCAGTGCATGGTGGCAGTTGGTCTTGCTCACCCTAGATTCTGAAGGACTTGAGTTTCTTTTCGAAAGTCTTATGAAAGTTGAAAGGTTTCTAGAGCTCGCCAAGTTCTTGAGTTCAAACGATTGAAAAACATCTCTGATCTTTGAGAGGCTTCTACAATCTAGAACTCTTTCAGTTCGTCTAAATTCCAACGGTGGTAGAAAATGAATTCTTCGCATTCCTTGGAGGTTGAACAGATTGAAATACAAGTTCTGCTGATCAAAAGCCCAGGTGAACCCATCCCATCCAGCCTAGACGATGTCGGGCGACCTGGCCCCGCTGTCGACGTTTCCAGAGACTAGTTTGAGACGAATGTCCTGCTTTGTTTCCTGCTGCGATTTCCATCGGAGAGCAAAAAAATAGTTTGAGGTGAATGTCATTACTTCTTTTTGTCTGGCGCTATTGCCGTCCGAGAGCGAGTAGACATCTATCAAAGACGATGGCAAGACCCCTCCAATTGGCCAACGCTCAAAAGCATTGAATAGCTTTCACAACACAAAATACAGAATAGAATTTGTAAAAGAGATAGGTCTTGCCGTGCCCAACACAAGTGTTACCACTTGTGACCCACACAAAATGAACTTTCATCGAAAGCTATGCTTTCTTCTCGGTCTTGGATTTCTTTCCACCAGTGCCTTTGCGCTTCTTAGGCTTGGTGGTCTTCAGGAAAGCATTGGCCGCTGCCTGTCCATGAGATTGGATTGCAGGGACCCACAGCGCATCAGAAGAGTGTGAGTGAAGGGTCCCTTTTCATTAGGTTTGATTGGGGGTAAGACAGACTGCAGTTTGACCCTCGACCAGAAACCAGCCTGGAGCTTCGAAGAATGCTTGTCACTCTCATCAACCTCTTTCAGGTACCCTCGCAACACCTTCTCTTCTTGCTTTTCTTTCAACGCCTTGTGGGAAGACTTGTACAGGCGTTCCATATCACTAGCCTGAGTCAACAAAGCTTTTGCAAGGGTATCGGCAAACTCCAGCCCTGAAAGGGTGATGCTAGCAGTCCGTGCTAGCGCAGCAGACTTCAGCAATTCTTTCACCTTGAGGTTGAGCTCTTCTTGGATCGTCTTGGGCTTGGCAGCTTCAGACTTCTCCTCCTTTTTCTTTGGGTTCTTCTGGTTTGACACCTGCTGCAGCGGTGCGTTTCGAGTAATGTGGTTTGGTTGACATGAGTCATGAGTCTTTGAGAGAGAGCTTGGGATTAGGTGGATGAGAAACCAGGAAACCAACAACCTCGATTTAGAATTTGTTTGGGCCTTGGCGTCTGCGGTCAAAGCAGTCATGAGCTTTGAGCAGCCACCAACTGTGGCTGCTTCGACCTTTGGCAAGGCCCCTGGTCTCAGAACGCCAACTTCTTGGTCGATGAGTTTTCCCATGAGCTCATCATCCACCTTCGATGAGGCGGCTAACTTCATGCTGTCGACAGTTGATTCCTTTTGGTGGTACTGCTGCGGTGCCTTCATGAAATACCAGGATTCCTCATGCTGGGATGGTTTGGCCAGAAAAGAGTATAGGTTGAAGAAAAACTACACTTTGAAGTGACAGAAACATTTGTTATTAGGTCAACAAGCTTCGTTGGCGTCGTCGGGGTATAGGTCATCTTTGTAGTACATGCCCTCTTCAGTACGGCGGTTCATGATCTCTTTTGCACGGTCTTCGCCGTACTTGGTGACCAATTCACGCCCCTGAATGGCAACCCAACCTTTTTTGGATTGGTGTTTTGTTTCGTGGAGACGCTGCACATGCAATGCGCAGGCATCCCACGATTTCTCAGAGTCCAACCAAAAGTTAAAGAGTTCAACTTTGTTGGAGTTGAAGTAGTCAGTCATGCGAAACCGCTCCTTCGAGCGCACGAAGGTATCCCAATCACGCTTGTTCGTCACACCTCATGTTCTTTGAAGTTCTCGCGAAACACATATGTATGTATACATATGAACAGTTCCAACTAAACCCGTTGTGGAAAGCAAAAAGGATACAAACCGCAGCCCTGAAACTGTTTCGCAGCTTAGTGCTTGTCACTGCCTCGTTCAACGCTTTGGTTTCCTTCGTCGGCTCTTCTTCTTCTTCTTCTTCGTCTTCTTCTTCCTCATCCTCACAATCTCCCTCCTCCTTCTTTGCTTCGTCTGCTTCCTCCTCTTCGCTCATGGCCTCTCCATCAAGGTCAGGGTCCTCTTCACCGGACTCCTCGTCATCACTTTTGGCTTCGTCTTCTTCACCCTCCTCTTCCTTCTCTGAAGCTTCAGAAGCCTCGCTCGCCATGTCAGACGATTCTTCATCTTTTTCATCCTCGCCAACATCGCTCTCACCATCAGAACCTTGGGCATCAGATGATGCGCCGTCTTTCGCCTCTTCCTCGAGATCGCTAAGGTCATCAGATTGGTCACAGTCCCCTCGACTTGATGCCAAACCATCGACCATCTCTCTCACACAGGAACTTGGCGAGGCTGCAGGACGCTTTGTTGGAGGTGTGAAGACGCCTTCAATCATTTTGCGCTTCACCGGTACATATTTGATCTCATCCTCCTTTCTTTTCTTTGTCTTGCCCCCATCACCATCATCTTTCTCCTCCTTCTCATGGGCCTTCTCACCACCTTTCGCTTGTACCTTCTTCTTGATCTTGTCCTCCAACTCTTTCTGCTTCTTAATCACCCTCTCTTCCTCCTTTTTGAACGTCTTCTTATGCGCTGCCCTCTCCAGTTCTTTCTTTCTGGTTTTCTCTTCCATCATCTTCTTCTCAACGTCCTGTCGGAGCTTTTCGTCAGCTGTCACTTCTTTCTCAACGGTCTTTCGCTTGCCCAATTTCAAATCCAGGGCAGGCTTCTTCAAAGACTTGTCATCTTCACCATCTTTCTTGCCGTTCATCTTTGCACTCTTCAGTGCATCGTTCTTGTTGCTCTTCTTTTCCTCCTTTTCAACCTTCTTGTTACTCTTCTTCCCTTCCTTTTCAACCTTCTTCTCGCGCTTCATGTCCTCCTCCTTTGCAACCTTCTTGTCAGACTTCTTTTGTTCCTTTTGAACCTTCTTGTCATTCTTCTTGTCTTCCTTTACAGCCTTGTCGCCACTCTTCGGTTCTTTCCTTTCTTCCTTCTTCCCTTCTGCTTTGCTTGCAGCTGTCTTGCCGTTCTTCTCATTCTCAACGATCTTCTTGGTCTTCGAAGAAGCCTTTGTTTCCTCAGTGAGTTTTAACTTCCCTGCCTTGTCATCTGAGCTACTGCCAGATGCCTTTGCACGGACACGGTGCGTGGGAGGATCACCCATCGAGCCTCGAGCTATATAGGCAAAGCGCTAACCAACAACCCTCCCTCAACAAATGGCTGCGCACAGAAAGAGTGCAATTCGCAGCAATGACAAGTAGTTCGCAGCTTTTTGAAATGTGGCGTGGTAGAGAATTGACTGCAGCACGTTCCAAAGACTTCTCAAAAAAATGATGAAATCATGTAGAAACTACAATTCGCAGCATTTCGCAGTTGTTCGCAGCTATATCGCAGTTATTTCGCAGCAATATTTTTGATTTTTTTTGCATGGCGTGTCACTGACTGTATACTTCTTGTGCACACGGTGTCCCTGAGACTCACCGAGTGTGTCTGCAACTGTGGCAGGCTGACCCACTTTGAGCCTGGTGTTGAGAACGAAGCGAGGCATGCTCCTGCGCGCGCCAGTGGGACAGGTGAAGGGAAGGCTGCATGGTTGGGGGGTGTCTGAACTGGCCATAGTGTCACATCCTTTGAACATGTTTAGGCACTCGACCCTACTTCATATTCAAATATGATATGAAGTATAGACAGCAAGAACCCTAGAGTCTAACTTCAATTGTGCTCTCTGGACCTCTGGTCATATTGTCACATATTAATATGAACGCATATAGTTCTTTGACCTGGGCATAGAACCTCCTCACATAGTATATGAACAAGAAAGACTGCTTCGCGACTTTCGTTTCGCCTCCCCCAATGGCTCTGCGTCTGGGCCGAAGAACTCAGACAAACATTGAATTTACAGAGCAACCAAAGCAGTTCAAGGCTTTTTGCCTCACCTGCATTTCGAAAGAAAAGCCAACACTGGCTTCAAATTGGCGCCCGTCACCCAAGCACTGTTAAGCCTGGGCCGCTCGTTCATGACATTCTCTGTCTCGCTGGCCTCCTTCAAGAAACGACGCGCTGTCCTCTTGTGCCGCTTCAAGTGACTGGTACGGACAGCAGCAAGGGCGCGCCCAAACCTCAATGTACAAGAAGAAACTAGGAACCCGGCTATATCCTACATACAATCCAATGGAGCCACCTCCTCCTTGGGCTTCTTGTCTTTTTCAACTCAACCCCAAACACCAAAACAAATTCATATTGAACTACAAAAAGGCAGCCCTTGTGGATATGCTTGGCTGGCACGCAAGTCAGCCCCTCCCTTCACTCTGGAGACTCCAGAGGAGTCGACGTAACGCTCCACCATGGCCTTGGGTCGCAATCGTCGAGGTTGTTTGTGGTGCTGCAGGTCGTCTATGGCATTGCTACCTGACAGCTAGAGCTTTTTCACACAAAGGTTGAACACAATTGAACATAACCATCCAGCACCGTCTACTTTGAACCCTCCCTCCAAACACCAAGAAAGAGAAGGTGTCCGTACTTAGCCGTTTTTGGAGGCGCTTGGAGGTAAAAACGGACACCTTGCAAATAACGACTGGAATACAAGGCACTACTGTAAATGATCGTTCTTTTCTCGGTAGGGCCACCATAGTCAGCCATGGACATGGTGTACTTCCGAACCTCCAAAATTCTAAGAAGATGCTGGAAGCATGGCAAATGCTCCATGCAGCTGCTGATCGGCTGCTCCAAGCACCACCAGCACCCACGGCACGATGCCACTAGCAGCAGGATCAACGCACGACAGGCAAGAATCGTGCCATCTCGAACAGCCTGGCTATCCTGGCGCCCAAGTGGAGCGGAAGGACTTCGGAAAGTAGAGCCCCTGGACCTCAACAACGAGCTGGAGTATACAACTTCCCACAAGCACTTCAACCAGCGAAGCCAAATCAAACATAAATCAAAAAGGAACCTGTTGAGATAATAATTGAACCATATTGAACCACATATACGCTTTTCGTAGATGTTTTGGGCTACTAAAGATTCCGAGCCACAGATATACAAAGGTGCTGCACACAGGCGCAGACATTGCCGATGCACCCTCTTCTAGCATGACCGTGTGGTACAATGCATTGAGGAATCCCACCTCCGTCAGGAGGTCGTATTCTGCGCCCCCATACTCCCGATCCAGAGCAACGGCGCGTCGGCCTTCCTGCGTGTAGACAACCCTCCTTTCTTTGGTGCGACAGTGACTTCCACATGAGTTTTATTGTTAAAGCTTTGTTCTGCTTTGTTTTTGAACCCAGAGCCTTCATTTCTCCCATCGTGACACTGGCGCACCCAGCAAAGGTCTCCACATGTTGGATTTCATCTGTCCAGGAAAGCCCTGGTACAGAGAAAAGCAGGCTGACCAAAGTTCCGATGACCTCACACAAACAGTTTGAAGACAATCCTCCAACGCCCACAAAAAGAGTTGGGCAATGGTTGACACTATTCTTTTTTGTAACCCCACATTATTTTACAGCAGGCGTTTCATTTGAATTTGGATGGGTCTGATGCGTAGACCGGTTGAACATCCTCATCACAAAACCTGCCCAAAAACAACCAACCTCTTGTTTCAAATCAGCCTGGCCGCGACAGGTGCTTTGAGATGAGAAAGAGCGTTGAGGATCGATGACCGTCTTCGGTCACGGGGGGATCGGGGCTTTGAAGCTGGGCTTGCCTGTGGGAACTTCATGTTCACCTTGGTCTCTTTGATGTTTCTCCGCAAGTCGGAGCGGGACACTGCATTCTTCACCATGATGGCCACAGGTCACAAACGATATCTTCAGCTCGGGCCCACACTTCTGGAAACAGTCGCTGTGTCCCGTGTGGAGTGCACATGCCATGAACCACATATCCCTTTCTCTCACACGCCCTGCGAACAACTTTGAACGGCGCGACGCGCAAAAAAGTCCAACTTCTCCCAATCTCCTGAATCCAGTGTAGATTCGTAGATGACAGAGTACCTGGAGCCAAACTCAGACGACTGGGATGGAACATGACTCGGTGGGGTTGGTTCTTGGCTTCTAGTTGTGGACGACTTGGCAAATAATAGTGACGGTCTCCAACCTACTAGCAATGGCCTGAATCCTGATGGCAATCGCCTCCAACCTACTAAATGGCTTGAAACCCACAGTAATAATAGCAATCACCTCCAACCTACTATAGCAATGGTCTGACACCTACTAGCAATATGGCCTGCAGGCCTAGCAATGGCCTCGAACCTACATTTTAGCTCGCTGGTGGATCTAGATCTGCTACGACAGGCCCCCAAAACTTCCCAAGCCTGCTCCCTGGCACCAGCACATTGCTGGTGCTTTAGGGGAGGAATTGCTTGGTAGATGCCCCAAATGATTCAAAAGCTGGCGCGCTCAGCCAAATGACATTTCATATATAGGGTCTAGACTCCTGTTTGACATGGTCGACCATTGGGGATGCCAAGCGCACCGGCCCTCAATCACACCCTACATCCTACTCCAGGCCAGCCTTTTGCTTGGCCAGGTTCCATGCGTTATCAACCCCGCCGTTTTTGGCCCACGACAGTTGCCCACTGCCAGGACCACCACCAATCGGCTTCTTGACAACAAAGGCTCGGTTCTTCAGCAACGTTTCGACAACCTGGGCGGTGTTGGCAAACGCACCCTTTGACCAGACCTTTTCATAAGGGACAAACACATGAGAAGGTTGAGGTAGGTTGGAGGCCATCGCTTTTAGGCGAGGCAATCATTAGTAGGTGGCTGATAAAACTGAGACTTGAGAAGCTTAGTCAAGGTACAGCTCCCTGGATGTTCAATGTGTAGGAGTGTTTTCCCTTGTACGTACCATTCTCAAGAGGCAAAGCTTCCGATGGGATGTTCAAAGCTTCAAGATCATACTGCCCAAAGCTGGTGAGCTTGGATCCTTCCACCGCGCTTTCCTCCGCATCGGCCTGCTTCTGTTTCGACATGCGCTTGGCCTGGGATTGGACGTTTGGTTGGACACGATTTGAACCAGTGAAAATTGTGCTGATTGACACGCACGCTCCAAGAAGGGCCCGGTGTCAGCCCAACCAAAACAAAACTTGTCTTGTCAACGAGAGTCGGTCGTAGACCCAACAACTGGTGGGGGAGTTAGCCTAAGAGCTGCGTCCACATCTCCTGCCAACCTCGGGCGCTTTGCTGCTGGCGTCCGGTTCCAATCCTCGTCCACGTTCTCCAGGCCAATAGCTCTGAGAGCGCGGGCCTGGCGGCTTGCGTGTGAGGCTGACAAGACCAGGAGACTGTACTATAGACTATCGTCCGAGAAGTTCACTTAACCCCGCAGTGCTTCCCCGCAGTGCGTCCAGTGGGTTGCAATACGGGTTTTGCAAGGTCAAACTTTGTTCTTGCTAGAGAGAGGATTTTCAAAAATAATCAAGTGGAAGCCGGTGGACCCAATGACATGTCTGACATATCTAATGCAATCAGGAACATTCGTGCGTTTGTTTTGTTTTTGTTATTCTGCTACAAAACGAGCGATGTTTCTGGACCACCTTGAACCCGAACGTTTGAAGTAGGCCAAGAAGAAGGAGGGGTCATCGGCAATGAACAACCTAACCTAACTATTTGCGAGAGCTTGTGACCCCTTGCCAGCCTCAGCTTTCTCTATCATCGAAGTGGTCGGGTCAGAAGAATCCTGCGCAGCGAAAAGGAAAGAGGCTCTTTTGAGAGATGCTGGGAAAAGGGAAGATGACGTTCGTTGCCACATCCTGTTCATGCAAGTGGGACGACTGGATGTTTTATCAAGACTGTTTTTTACGATTGGATATATATATATATATCTAGTAGGCGAATACACCAAAAAAGTGTTTCCACGCACTGACTCTCACAAGTGCACAAGCAAACACCAGTGATCCAAAGCGAGTCTATGACAAATAGTTTGTTTTGGTTTGTCCAACCCACATATGCGAATCAAGCTTTTCGTATCAGGGTGTCCTGGCTCTTCTGTTCCCGCACCCAAAGATGGAAATGTTCATGTGAGGCCAGGGTGGAGAAAGCGTGATCTCCATACAGCCGCAAAGCCTTGTCACAGTGCTCGCGATACTCTTTGTACATGGGATGCCTCGGCGAGTGGAGACATATTGAACATGAACTACTATTCTTGATTTGCGCATCCCCCTTGACGTGGTGCTGCTTGGTCGCGGAGCGTCCCTATCAAATAGACTCAAATACTGACCGAAAATCAAAACTCCACCAAAAAATTTGCAGGCAAGAAAATGTCAAGAAACTCATTCAGGTTTCCCGCTTCCTTCAAAAACATCTCAATTTCCTCGAGCCACTTCAGGATCAAACCCTCCCTGTCTCCAGTTTGTGGCCAAACTGGCTCACTTCCCTGAGAGTCCGAGTTGACTTCAATCGGCTCAGTGTCGACGCCCAAGCGAAGAGTTGGGGCGTGCAAGCTGTCGGCATCAGAAGCCTCAGGCGAGGCAAGGGGCATGTCCAAACTCTTCTGTGAATGACAAACCCACACACACCTACACACAGAAAACATCAGAAAACTATGGCGAAAGCTCAACCTAGCGACGCCGCAATCCACACCATTCTCACCAACATCTTCATCTCGATCAGCCTCATCCACCACTTCCTCATCACCATTGGCGACAGGAGCAACAGACGCGGCATCATCTTCGGACGCAAGTGGCAAATTCGACTCGTTGTCAGATGCCTGCTCCTTCGCAATCTTGCGAGCTGCAGCCTGCGGGCTCTCCACCAATTCCGCTTTCATCTGGGCGATGCTCTCGTGGTGAGAGGTAGACTTGGCATTGCGCCACAGGTACCGCAGTGCACCTATGCACCTTTTCAGTCGACAGGCTTCAAGAGCAGCCTGGTGTAGTTTGTCGCCGCGGTCTTGGGACACTCGAAACAACAGGCCACCCACATGTATTGAAAATTCTTTGGCATTTTAAAGGATCAGCAATGAGCCTTGTCCCTGAAGTGGCTGATCAAAGGTCTGATCCACATGGCGTTCTTGCTCAAGTCTGCTGAAGTTGGCCTGGCGACTTCGTTCTGCAGCTGGATGAGCTTGCTGCCCTTCCACTCGGGGTCGCTCACAACAGACACAACCTGCATGGACATGTTGGCCCGCATATCCCTCGCAATGGATACCTCAGCAACACCATCTCAACATTTTTGAGCATATGTGGACCCCATAGTTTTCTCATACTATTCAAAAGAACATACATACAAAACTCTTCTTGTCAAATCCTGATCGTGGGACCACCTGCTCTTCAGTCCAGCTCACTTTGCCAGGACCTTCAATGGTTTCACCTCAAAAACAAACTTCTTGGTTGGAAACAGTCGGATTCCTGCCCACGAAGTTAAACCAAAGAAAACATATTTGCTCATCAACCCAAACGACGGCATGAGCGCCACCCAGAGGGCAGCAAGGCATCTTTGTCATGACACTGCGAAGTCATGTCGAGCATGGCGGGCGGGCAACGAAAGCGAGAACGCAAAGCCGCTGAAGTGTGAGCCCTGCAAGCCATGAAACAAGATGCAATGTCACACGCCAGTCTATCAATTGCTCCCAGGGAGCGTCAACATGAATCAACCCATGCACTTCCTCTCAACTAGGGTTGCCCAGAACCATGATAGGCGCTCCATCTGACACCCCTTCCCTGCGCAACCCCCGCTTCGCGAATGGGCACTTGCCCACATCACGCGCGCCCCACGCACATGGCTGTGGCCAAAAGAGAGAAGGAAAAGACGGCGCCAAAGTCTGTGGTGAAAAACCTTGTCTGATTGCATGCAGTTTCTCTTTGGGCGCTCACCTGGACCTTGCCTCTGCTGCACTCCACTGTGCGTGACAGCACTGCTTTACATCATTAGTTTTATAATTACACAAACAACCCTCATGCCTGAGCTCGACCGAGGGTGCGCGAGCGCAAGCGAAGTTACGAGGAAAGCCGGAAACATCCATATAAATATCCCCACCAAAACGCACATGCTAGGTTACCAAGAGGAAACTTTTCAGAAATTGAAGGTGACCACTGCTTCCTTGCACCTCCCACCGTGGCAAAAAAAATCTACAACACAAAAGGGATGCCAATCCCAAGTTTCCTTTTCTTCCCACTCCAAAAAGAACAAAAAAAGCACAGAAGGAGCTGCCCCTCTCCTCTTTTGGTGTTCTGTTGTAAAAAACAACAGAATGACAGAAAACACTGCCACAAATCATCCTTAATTTTTCGTTTGGTTAGCGTGAAAAGGTCTGTTGTGTAGCGCGCAGTGGGTGAGCCAGCGCTCAAAACCCAAGAATTATAGAAAACCATGGCGCAGCCATGAACATCTGCAGTGGACACGCAAGCGGTATGCGTGCGCAACAAAACAGTATCCTGTGCAGTGTGGGTATGCAAGCCTTCTAACAGCAATATCAACAAAAGAAGCTCAACGCTGCCAAACAACAAAACGCGCCCCAAAGGGCAGCAATAGATCCTCTAGGTGGTGGGACGATTCTGGCGCGTGCCACCACATCCGCCAAGCTGAAGGATGTGAACAAGGAGACGCGCTTGCGCCGGCCCTGTTTTCCCTAGGGCAACACGCCGCGCTGGAAGCTTCCGCGGCCCACTTGGCCCCAGGCGACGTCCTTGCAGCCTATCTTGATGACTTGTACATTGTCACGCAGCCGGCTCGCGCCCGTGCAGCCTTTGACCTGGTGACCAACAATGTCGAACGTCTGGCCGGGGTCGCCTCCAACCTCGGAAAGACGCGGGTCTACAGCGGCGCCGGCGGGTGCGCGCCGCCAGGGATCGCGGAGCTTGGGCCCGACGTCTGGCGCGGCGACCTGCCGCCGGCCCAGCGGGGGTTCATCGCCCTAGGCTCGCCCATCGGATCGCCCGAGTTCGTGGCAGAGACGGCCCGGGACACTCACCTGTCTCATGCCCACCTCCTGCAGGAGATCGCCGCACTGCCGGACCTTCAGAGCGCCTGGCTCCTACTCTCCTTCTGCGCCGCTCCCCGCGCGCACCATCTCCTGCGCACCCTGCCCCCCCGCTGCGTCCGCGACCTTCGCTGCGGCCCACGATGCCGCCACTTGGGGCACCCTGCAAAGTCTCCTTGGCGAAGCCGGCGCCAACACCCCCGCCTGGCAGGTCGCCCGCCACGTCGCCTTCCTTCCAACGCAGCTCGGCGGGCTCGGCCTCGTCGCCGCCGAGCGCACGGCCCCCGCCGCATATTGGGCCGCTTGGGCAGATGCCCTCCCTGTTCTGCGCCAACGGTACCCCGATGCCGCTGCCCGATGCGTCCGTGAACTCGCGGTCGGCGAGGAGGCCGCTGCCCCTTGCTTGCGGGCTGCCGCCGCCGCGGCCACGCACCTCCACCGCCATGGGTGGACCGCCTGCCCCACGTGGCATGCCCTTTTCCACGCTCTCCAACCTGATGCGGCCTCCACTGACCAGTCTGGTCCGGGGCTTGGGCCTGGCGGTTGGCAGCGGCAAGCTTCTCTCGTACTTCACCAGTCCTTCAGAGAGAGCGAGCTGCTCCCAGCCCTCAACCCGGCGTCCCGCGCCATGCTCCGGTCACAAGCCGGCCCCCAGGCCGCCGCCTGGCTCACCGCCATCCCCTCGGAGCCTGGGACCACACTGCCGCCTCACTACATGCACCGCGCCCTCCGGCGCCGACTCCGCTTGCCTCTGCCGTTGGCGCGTGCCCGCTGTGGAGGTGACGGCGCTCCCGGCTGTGGGCAGCCGCTGGACCGCTTGGGCGACCACTGCGCAGCTTGCCCCCGCAGCGGCGCTCTCGCCCGCCGCGCACATGTCTTGGAGCACGCGTGGGTGCGCGTCGCCCGCGAGGCTGTGGGCGCCGAGGGCCGCGTCGTTCCGCAGCAGTGGCTTGCGCGCACCAACACCCCGCACATTTCCCCCGCTGACCGCCGCCGACTCGACCTGGTCGTGCATGGCGCCTCGCCACATGGGGAAACGTGGTGCTGCGATGCCACCCTCGTCTCCGCCTTGACGCGCGGCGGTGCCCCCGTCCCTGGGGCCGCTGAGGCGGATGGTGTCGCGCTCCGCCTGGCCGAGCGGCGCAAGCGCCGCCGTTATCCAGAGCTTGCTGCCGGCGGTCCGCAGCAGCTCCTGGTCCTCGCCTGCGAGGTCGGCGGCCGCTGGAACACGGAGTCCTTGACCTTCGTGCGCCGCCTCGTCCGCCTTCGCGCCCGGCGCGCGCCTCCCGCGGTCCGCACCGCCGCCGCTGCCGGGTGGCGCCGCCGCTGGTGGGGCCTCCTTGGCGTCGCCGTCCAGCGCGCCTTGGGCCCCACGCTGCTTGGGGACGACTGGCGCGCGCCCCAGTGCCCCACCGGCTCCGCAGAGCTCCCTCTCGGGGAGATCCTTGCGCTTGCCGGGGCCTCCGCGCCAAGCCGGCTCCCTTTGCGGCCATAGGCCAGCAAAGCCTGGCAGGACCTAGCACCGACGAGGCCCGTGCGGACCCCCCCCCAAAAAAAAACTTGTTTCCCAGCCTGGTGCTGGGTTCCATATTGTTCCATGATGTTTTTATATTTTTTTAATTCTATTCTTTTTGGGGGTGGCGATGGTGAAGATGCGCAACAGTCGCAGCGGGGGAACCCCGCTTCAATCGAATTGCGCTGCATTCAGCCACCACCCATGTGGACACAACACTGATGAACATGTTCCGGGATTCCGGGCCAGTTGAGCAACTACTTCTCGCCGCAGTCGCACTTTGACAAGAGAAGGCCCTGAGCCGCGAACCCCCCCAAAAAAAAACTGTGGGTCCGAATGGGTCCAGCTGGGCCGCATCACGCTCAGGGGAGCAAGTGTCCAACCCAAGGCGGCGCACTGTGCGATAGAATCCTTGACCTCAGCCCCGGCCTTCAGGGGCGAGCTGTCGCTTGTACACTTGAAATTTGGGTCGCTTGTGCACTTGAAATTATGGTCGCTTGTACACTTGACATTTGAGCACTGTCCGAACATGTCGTCACCAAACGCTTTAGGTTGGTCGGTCTTACACTGAGCATACATTGAAAACCGATGAGGAAAACCCAAGACCGAGGTCTTCCATTGAGCATACATTGAAAACCGATGAGAGACCGATGCCTCTGTATCATACATCGGATAAGCACTACTACTATTACTACTACTACCACCAATAGTACTGCCACTACTAGTAGTGCATGCCACTACTACTACTGCCACTACTGCTACTACTACTACTACTACTACAACGACGACGCTTACTACGGAATAGAACCCTGCGTGCGTGTGTGTGTGTGTGTGT